CTCTCTCTCTCCCTCTCTCTCTTTCTCCCTCTCCCTCTCTCTATCTCTCTCTCTCTTTTCTCTCCCTTTTCTCTCTCTATCTCTCTCTCTTTTTCTCTCTCTCATTTGCATACACTATTTCTTCCGTCTCACAGTCTAGCATACACATGCATATACATGTATATCACAGTACATCATTATCTGTCTATCTGTCTCTCTCTGTCAGTCTGTCTGTCTCTCTTTCTCTCTTTCTTCCCATCTCTTCTTTCTCTCCTTGTCCCCTTCTCTCTCTATAACTGCTTCCTCCCCCTCCACACCCCTTTCACACTCACAAACTCTACAAGCTGAAAAGCCAAGAGAACAACATTTTCCTGGATAGATTGAAAACAAAAAAACTTTCACTTTTTCAACACTTTTACCTAGATTTAGAAATTCGTAAGTGCTGTGATTTTTAATTCTTGAGAAAACGTTGCTCGACACATGCAACCGACACCACGGATTCAGAAACTGCAACTTTTGAAATATTAGATGGTTAAAAAAATGTTGGCATAGAACAGCTGGCCGACGTTATCTGTTTCTTGCTGGGGTTTTGTTTTGATTTGCTTTAGGTAGTTTTTGTTTTGTTTTCTTTGTTTGTTATTGTTGGGTTTGGGTTTTTTTGTTTTGTTTTGTTGTTTTTTTTGGTGGTTTTTTTTTGGGGGGGTGGGGGTTCTTCTTTGTCTCTGTGTTTTTGCTTTTGTTTGTTTGCTGGGTTTTTTTTTTCTTTTTGGCTGTTTTATAATTCTTTGGAATACACTATGTACGTTTGAAAATTTAGCGCATCCCGAATTCCACAGCCATATTCCGTCTCTGGCACTTCATGTTTACCTCTGTGCCCAGTATTTATTTATACTCCAATATTCCCCCTGATGGAAGGTTACACGGCATCACGACAAGTCCCATCGGTGGCATTCCTATGGATACTGCTGAAGGGTCCAGTGTCTTTGTGGTTAGTGAGCTCAGGCTCGCAATGAGGTCAAACACAATAATATGTTGGTTACACATTGTTTGGGTGGAAAGTCTCTGAAGTGAGCGATTGGGCAGAACACGATAGCCCATACCTTGCTTGAAACATACCCCCCACCCCCAACCCCCCCCCCCCCCCCAAAAAAAAGGGCTGCGCTCAGTGCCGACCAGTAATAACTAATAAAAAAAATAGATTAATAAATTAATGCCGTGTTGTTCGTCTGTATTTGTGGTCAGCGAGGGGGGAAATCACGCTTTTGTCAAATTTTAGGAAAAGACGACACCAATATTTTTCCAACAGTCGGGCTGTTGTTGTCGAATTTTTATTTTCACACAAAACTTTTCGTCTCGTTGTAGATCACATGTTAGGGTGGATGTTTACTGAATAATGTTGTTTAAAGCCAAACAAATTGTTATAGTGTAAAATAAGTACGAGTATTCAGCTTTAAAAGTTACCAGGTTTTGGCCGCCATTTTCTCGCTAATTTTAACTGTAACAGCCTTCTGAAATCGCACACATCTTGTCTTCTATGCAATATAGACCTGTACTTTTTTCATCACGTTAAAAAATAATGTTAATACATGTATGATAGCAATAACCCCACGAGCCCAAAAAATGGCACATTCTTGCGATACGCTGTGTTATATGAAGTTGATACATTAATTGTGTACATTTACTCAGGTCTTTATCCCATTATTGTAAGTCAAATTCCCTCATGAGAATTAATATAAGTGGTTTTTCGTTTACTTTCAATATTAAAATTTCCATTAATTTCATGTCGTCATTTTACTTCATTAGTTTCATCTCTTCATTTTATTTCATTTCAAGTCCCATTTTGGATATACAGCGTTATGGTATGTTCTGCACAAACTGTAATCATCCACATAGTGTGACTCTCCTTTTGTCCAAGTTACATTTCCGTCTGAGTGTACAAGGCACAAAATGGTAAGACAACCAAACATACAGGTCGAGAGCATAAACTTGGCACAAACTTCATAAGACAACAAAACATATCAGCGCTGCACCTTAACTTTGTAAAAGCTTGACATGAAAACCAATCATACCAGTCCAGCTTCGAGTTCTCCAAAGTTTCCAAACGAAGATCCAGGGATACCATCGCGTCATTAAGCATCTCTATTTGTCTGAAACAAAAGAAAGACGAGTATAATACATACAACTGTTTATTCGTCTGTATCTTGCATTGTCTTACTTTGGCATATTAGCATAGCAAACCCTTACAGGTAATGAGATTGAAAGCTTGAAGAAGGATGTGATCACTGGAATGAACTGTGAAGTTATAAGAATAGAAAAAGACTAGAGAGGTCAACAGGTGCACAGATATCCTACTCTTTGACAAGGAAGTATGATCATGGGAATACTGCTCTGATTAGAAAAGGCGCGCAGTATTGTATGTTTTAGAAAGACTTAATGAGTTTTCAACGTTGTCATGGTGCCTAACAACATAACGGGGCCTCAGACGAGCCTTTACATCTCGACACTTTTCTATCGTGCCAGCCTTCACTACAGAGTATTTTGATAGTTTGCTGAGGCTTCGGGCACAAACAAGGTCAAGGTTTTCGTTCATGGGTCGTTAGCGGACGCTCTGGTTTGGTTTGCTCCTTCTTTCCTATCAAACATCTGTCATCCTTATCTCTCCTCCTTCTTTTCTTTGTATGTTAGTCTCCAATAACACCTCTAATCTTCAGCACATTTATGACGTGATTGTATCACAAGTGCCACTGAATTTTTCTAAAATGAACAAAAAAAATTGTTGTTCTTAAAATCGGACTTGTGACGTATACAGTCGAAATTGTCCGATACGGCCACTCATTGCCGAGAAGAAAAGGGTTTTGTCTTTAATAAACGGATGTCTAGGACAGTGCCATTGTAATAATATTTTTAGAAAACATGTAATCGGGGAAGTGATATAGGGTCATTTGTACATATTGATTGTATTGGACAGGTGGCTGAGTCGCTGTTAAAGCAAGTTCGACTGTATAGTTAAGCTGCACCAGACATCACAACAAATGTGCCACCATGGCTCAAGCACTACCACTTTTTAACTTTTTACAGACAGCTGGCGACCAGGCGGTTGTTGGTTTTTTTAGCTCAACTGACATGCTGAAGGACGGGGTTCAAATCAGAGTGTGGTCCAAATTTTACCCCCAAAAAATTCTAGAAAAGCCTTAAACATTTCGCACTGCGAAATTCCAAACCAATTTTATACCACGCCACGATATCTTTACCATTAATCCTTACAGTATAATACAAAACATCGGCATCTGGTGGAGCGGTCAGGTGCACGTTAGAGATCTGAGTTTGAAAATTTTGAGCAAGTATCTCGGTTTTTCTAATGAGATGTTGTATTCCTGTCAGCCCGGGTCGGCCGTGGCAGTCAGGAACGACTCCTAAACGAAGGCGTAAAACACCATCCTTAGAAACATTGTAAAACAGAAACAGCACAACGCAGTACCGTTTAGTGGAGTGTAGTAAATACAATACAGTATAGTAATTGACAGCTTCATAGGATATAGTACAAGGATAGGAACACAACTGTCAATATAGAGGTACTGAGTCAGCAGGAAACGAGCGAACACTCCGGAGTCCTGACGGTGGGTAGTTGGCGGGTGCTCTGGTATGATTTGCTCCTTCTTTCCTTTCGAACATCTATCATCCTGATCTCTCCCCTTCTTTAAGGGGTCTGTTACTTTCTTCTAACACTTATCCTCAGCATTTGTTTGAGCTTGCTGTGTTACAAGTATCGTAAAACTCTTACTGAAACAAAACAAGATAAACATATACTGGACTCAGTAACAACGAGTTATTTACTCGGTAACAGGAGTAACTGAGGTAAAATTAGTGTATTGACTCTGTAGCACGACATACCTGACCATCATGCCCTCAAAATGAATCAGGGCTGGCACTAAAATCTCCGAAACCGGCGGCGAGAATTTCTGAAGCTCAGATTCCGTTAATGTAGGGAAAACTTCTTCCAGTGGTATAGCGTCTGCCAGAATCTGTTCGTAGCTTCTTTCATCCGCTGAATCAGGTTTTGTTTCCTTTATGTCTCTTCTCCGTCTGAGCTTAAGACTGTGAATCGTGCTGTTTTGGCTTTTGGAAATACTCGATTGTTTGAGCTTGTACTTATTTCGATGACTATTAGCTGCTACAGTCTCCATTCCTGTGCTTTTGTGAGTAATTTTCAAATCCGAATCCCCGTTGGTGTTCACCCTAGACTCTATGTTGTGAGTTTGAAACCCAGTCTGGTCGGCATCAGGCCTTGTGCGTGGACGAAATCGGTATCGAGGTTCATCAAACTGGTTCACAGACTGGGACAGCTTTGTAATACGTTCTGATACTTTTGACAAACTTCTCAATGTTGTTTTCATCACGTGTCCAGAAACAAGACGTGCCAATAAAGGCGAGCTAGATGTGTACGCTTCTCTGGGAAACTTTCCAGTATCTGCATATTCTTTGAAGATATGAGCAATTTTATCTGGCAGATGACGAGGGGAAGTACCTGTATACGCCCACTTTGGCAAGCTTTCTTCATCCGTGTTTTCGAGTTGAGGAGAATAACTGAAAGTGTTCGCCCCTTGTGCAAAACTGTCTCCTTTCTCCGGATGTTCACGAGACAAAGACTTTGATGTGTCTCCCCCATTGTAGGAATTCCGTCGGTCTTCGAACTGTGCTGTTAGTCCCAAAGAATCCGCTCCTGTTTCTTGTCCCGTGTCAATGGAAAGGCTTTCGCTAAGATCACCACCTGGAACAATGTTTACGGTAACATCCTTAGCGAAGCCGGCTCCCTCACTGCCAACAACACCACAGCCTCCACTGAAACCGCTGCCATTTTCCCCTCCTGACCGCAGCTGCAGCAGCAACAACATCAACAGAACGGCATTGCTGCAGAGAGTTAAGAGAAGGCCTAGCGCTAACGTGTTCTGTGACGGCGTCATGTTGCTTCAGTGACAGCCTTCAGCCCGGCAGACCTTTCCCTGTCTCGGCCCTTCATGGTGACGGTCTGTGTCATGCACTCTCCACACTCACTCCCTGATCTCTCCACTCACGATACAGGCCAAAGACGTTTGAGAAGGCCTCGACTCTAAACGATAAAAGGCAGCATGTTCATCTTGCCTCATTTGTTGGATCTATTGCTGGCTTTTCCAGTACCCAGTGGTCTTTTTGCATTTGTCTTTAGAGGAACAGCTGGGAATGGAATTTATCTTAACACTAAAACGCAGAAACGGAACTGTTCTCGACTATCTTTCTAAATAATCATTTCGCACCTTTCAAAACAAGTGTCAAGGTCACGGTTCGCACCCGAGTGAGTTAAGAACTTCTTTCTCTTCTCTGAGCTATATTCTTCATACCCAACTTCCGTACAGCAAAGAGTCGAGACACTCACCTTCCGAAAATATGCGCTGTAACAGTTCTAGACCATGCAAAAGGCCATCACAGTATATAGACGGTACGAAAACAACAATTTGCTTTTGTTCGACAGATTGACGCAAACAGTAACAAACGACAATAAACACAATAATTTCGCAACAGTTCTGCATACCGTGTTTTTTCCACCCTGTCGTGACCTCGTCATAACGTGAGCTACAATTGAGGACACAAGTGGACGACAGTTCAGCTTCTGGTGGTTTTTGAGGGTGAAACAAAACCATGAGGCTCGCAGTCGGAGCGAACACACAGAGGAAATTAGAACTTGTCTCAATGACTGACGATAAAAACAAACTCGCACTTAAAGCACGCGCTATGAGTCGCACTTCCTCCTTGTGTTTTGGTGCGAACATACGAATATTAGTGGCAGAATTCGCTTCTGGACTTCCCAGAGAGATCGTTGAAAATTGGCTACCAAATGGCGTAGTTTCGGTGTCAACAACCGTTTTGTTATCTACTTCCGCCTCCTTTGTTTCTGGTCGGTGTTAACGGAAACGAGAGTAGGGGGATCAGGCAGCCCAGTGCGAGCCACAAGGGGGAAAATGTCATTGTAGGATGGTCTCTTATTTCATCTACCTTCGAAGAGGGTTTTTATATCACGCGGTCAGTGATCACAACAATCAACATTCCCACAACAAAAAGAAAAAGAAAAGAAAAAAAAACCCTGATTCCATTGGTATCGATCATCATGCGGGAAACTTGGTTCACCACGACTTACATCCGTCCAACCATCCATTCATGCATCTGTCCATCCGTCCATCCATTCATTCATCCATCCATCTATATATATATAGAGAGAGAGAGACAGACAAACAGTTAGTTACTTACAAACATTGCACTAGAGGTCAACAAAGACATTAACGAATAACACGACATTCTTAGTTGGTCGCCACTGTGCAGTGCCCTGTTTTGGAGCAAGGGTTATTGTGTCTTGTTCAAGGACACACCTCCAGGACACCACTCAACTAAGCACTGTGTCACCGACAAAATATGCTTGACATTTTTTGTGAGTCTGAACTCCCAGACCACTCCGACTCTGCCGTCCCAGTAGACTCACCTTACATCAAAACAAAACAGGCTAGGAAAATGATAAACAGCTTTACAAGGATGTATTGGGACGAAAGAGAGCTCACACAAAAACCGCATTACCAGATCGATCTTTCGTTTGGGGGTGTGGGGGGGGGGGTATTACAGTTTTTTAAAGTTTTAGTAAAGTTTTACGGCACTCGCAACTGCATAAGGTCATATGAGCATGACATTCGTGCTTTAGAACGACGGAATTGACATACATTTTCTCCTCTCCAGATTTCATGTCCGGAAGTATAATATTACTTGGACAGGAAAAAAAGCTGACATTCATTGTGTAGACGGGGGCGTAACTCCCCTCCTCCACACCCCCCCCCCTTGCCCACTTTTTCCCCTCCTTGCTTCCAGTGTCTTTCGAGTCCAGTGGTCCAACGATTGGATAAGTGATAGGGTAATCGAAACTCACAGAGGACGCGTATATTGGCCATTCGACCCCGTTCTTGAATACGCCATGTTTTGGGGTATTTCAAAAACGGAGTATAGCCCCAACATTCCTACCTATTCATACGAATTTTATAGTTCAGCTTTTTAAATTAAAAATGTGAATCTTAAAGAGACAGGCAACAACATGTATGAATACTATGAAATATCGTCGGCCTAGTGATAAAACCGACTAATCCACAAAATTTCAATTTTTTTTTATTGGCCATATCGATAGTAAATTGTCCATTTCATATGCTCACTCAAAGACAGATCATAATTTTGTGTAGAAATGCCTTTAACATCAGAAATAAAACCGTATAACCCGGCACCCATCGGATTTTAGCCCGATAACTCCGACTATCCCATCTGCGAGGGAGGGAATGAGGGTTGGCTGTTTTTATCGCGCTAACAATGAGGGGCCACGTG